CCCCCGTTGGGGAGGTGTCGGGTGCGGCACCTCCCACCTACAACAACTGTTCCGGGGGGGGTCTCCGCGGGGGTTTGGGCATTCCCCGCTTTGACCCCTCCCTTCACAGTCGGCTTCTCTCCTTCCTTCTTACCTCCCCTCCTTTTCCTCCTGGGAGGGGGCTTGCAGGCAGGCCTTCCGATCTTATGACCGGAGGGCCTGCCCGCCTCGGCGCAGACAGGGTATTTAGCCGCCGCCGTATATCCCTTGGCGCGGTGGCCGGGGCTACCGCAGCGATAACAAAGACCGCTGCGGTCGCTGCGCTAGTGCACCGCTCGTGCACGTGCCCTGGCTCTAAACACCGGACGCATAAAAGTGCACGAGCGGGCAGCGCCGTCACTCCGGCATGGGTCCACCCCACCCGGACCCGCTCTGCGGCAACGACCTTCGCAGCCGCCGCCAACGGACACCGCACCACAACCGCCCCTATGCTCCGCTGGGAGACGCTCATACCTCCCGCGGACACTTCCGCGGGAGTGCATCTCCCAATGCGGGCTACGACGGCCGCCACCTCGTCGGCCCCGGTTGTCGCGTCCAGGCCGGAGAATCGCACCGCTGCGAACTTCGCCGGCCTCTGGACGCGAAAACCAGGGCCCTTTTCCGCCGCCAGCTTACGAAGCTCTCCCGCAATCCGGTCGGCGGAAGGCCCGGCCTCGAGGCCAGACACTTCGACCATCATGGCCCCGCTCAGGGCCATGCGGACCCTCAGGGGTGCATCGATCCCTAGGTCCTTTAGTCGAATTTAGCGCTTGGCCTCTACCATAAATTCCTGATACCGGTCTTCTGGGCACTTGATGGTGACGGCCGCCGATCTTGGCGGCTTCGGCCTGCCCTGCCTCGCTATCTGCGCCCCCCTCCCGGGTCCCGCCTTAGGGGGAGGATTAGAGGCTCCTCCCTTAGCCTATCCCTTCTCCTCCGCCAGCGTTTTCTTCTTTTCTCTCCTCGTTACCTGCGCCCAGGTATCTTCCTCTTCTTTGGCATGCGTTTGTCCACCTCCCGGGTTGAGGGCTTTCACTAGCCCCTTCTCAGCAGGTGCACGTGCCAACTCCTGCAACTATCTTGCCGGGACTCCCATTCCCGCCTTCTTTCCTTGGGTACCCGGACCCTTGACCTGGGAACCTGAGGACAGACCCCTGCCTCCACTATTCTGGGCCCTCTTCCTCTCCCTCTCCCTCTTCCTTCTCTTCTTCTCCTTCTCTTTCTCCTTCTTCGCCTTCTCCTTCTTCCATTGGCCTGGCTCCATGGGTGGAAGTGGAGCCTGGATCCTTCCTGGCGCCTGAACTTCCTTCCTCCTGGGAGCCGGAATTGGTGTCGAGGCCTCCGCCACCTCAGGCACACGGCTGCACCTTCTCTCGATGTCGAGGCGGGCCACCACAACCCTCAGGTTGTCAAATCCCGCCCCGACGCCGCCAGAGGGGCTCGAGGTGCCCAAGGTAGCGTCCAGGGCCTCTATCACCCCCTCCGGTCTCTCCACCGGGGGAGGGGTCTCCTCCGGGAGATTGTCGTCATACGAAGGCACCTCTCCCGAGGAAACCCCTCTCCCTATCTTCATTCCCTCCTCTCCCGAGAGGGGCGGAGAGGGTTTCCCTGTCCTCCTCTACTTCCTCCTCTCCCTCTCTAGGGTCCGGGCATCCCTTAGTTCGTCTTCCGTTGTCGTGGAGCCCCTGTAGCGTCCGCGAGGTCTTCCTCCTCCTGTAACTAAAACTGGAGGGGTGAAGGGGATACTCTCGTAGGCCGAGAGTCGACGGGGCAGCAGCCTTTAGAGTCCTCAGCTCCTCAGCCTGCCGCCTCATTTCGACCCTCATCCTCCTACCCTCCTCCCTCATACCCTCCATTTCCTTTCTGAGAGTGGAGGACTCACTATCCTCCCCCTCTTGCGCCGCCACCCTTGCAATCAGGGTGGCCATCGCCGCCTCGGAGATGGCAACTGGGCGGTTAATAAGTCCCACAAAAGTCCCTTTCAGGGTCCGGGACCTCCACGCTATCATTTTCACCGCGCCTAACGCGCGGTCCACCTCCGAGGCCAGCTACGAGGCTCTGGTGCCCCTCAAGAGCTCGGTGAAGGCGGGATCCCTATAGATCTCCTCGGCCGGGCGTGTATCTTCCATGGAACGATATATTCCCTTGCCGAAGAGGTCCCAGACCTCCCTCTCCAGCCTTATCAGCTCCTCCTCCTTTTTCTCCTCCACCTCTTTCTCCTTTCTCTCCCTGATACCCCCCCCTTGAGCGTAGTGGCTGACCTGGAGTTTCCAGGGAGGCCGTTAGGGGCAGGTAGGAGGCGTTTATTCATCCACGGAAGCATTGCACGCCGGTGCTCCGGCAGCCGAAGAGGGTGATGCCCTCTCTGCCTGTCCCGTGCGTAGGAGTCGTCCCCGAAGGCATTGCACGCTGGTGCTGCGGCAGCCGGAGGGGACGTGCCACACCCGGGTCTGCATACCGTGGGGTTTGGAACCCCCACGGTACTCGGACTGGCGGGGGGCTCCGGGCCGCTCGGACGTATTCCGAGGTCGAGGCCCGGGGCCCCCCGGGGTGAGCCCGGGGGGTGACGATCGCTACACCTTAAAGTCACCCCCTGAGCGGAGGATCATGCTGGCCGCCGTAGGGGAGGGGTCCTGGTGGGTAGCGACACCAGTGACTTACCTCCTTCCACGGGGCCTCCGCGTGGCTGCGCCCCCAGCGGTGCCCCGGCGGTCAGAAGCCGGGGCCCTCCGAAACCAGCCTGGCTCCCAGCAATAGGGGTCAGGGCGGGAGTAGGGGGCAGGAACCCAGTGCCCGAGATGCCTCTCCTCGGGCCCGAGGTATAGACCGGCTCCCCGTGGGAACTCGGGGACACCAGTAGGTCAAGTCTCTGCTGATGCGGGCATGCCCGGCCGGTCGAGCCGCTGGGGGATAGTGGGATTATACCGAAAATGGCTGATTCAAATAAGAAAAGGAGGAAGGAGGAGGAGGAGAGAGGATGGGAGTCCTCGTCTTCGAGCTCTTCGCAGCCCTCTTTTAACGCGCGTTTGCGTGAAGAGGTGGCGCATCTCGCGGTCTGTGCGGAGCCGAACGTGGTAAGGTCCCTTGAGTGTGCGAAAAGACTCGCATACTCGGAGGAAAGATTTAGAGACTGGGAAAAGGAATGGGAGGTTTTAAATGATCATCTGATAGATGAGGACTGGAAGGAAAGGATGGGAAAATGCTGGGAATATATGGTGGAAATGAAAGACGTGGCAAAGCAATTGCACAGGGATACGGCATATTACAGGATAAAATGGAGGGATTGCAAGAAATGGGAAGAGAAAGCCAAGCAAAAGGACAAGACGATAGAAGCTGAAAAGGAAAAAGGGGAGAAATTAATAGAGCAATTGAAATTAATCAGACCGGAGATGGCAACACTAAAAAAGGAGAAAGACAATCTTGGAAGTCGTTTATACCAATCTGAGGAGAAATTGAGAGGCGGAATTATCCTGTATGAAGAAACTCAGAAGTACAGGATGGCCCGTATGTACGAGCCGGCCGACGACTCGAAGTGGAACGAACAGCGACGAGACCGCCGATACGACGCCTCGCCGTTCGGTGGCGCGAATTCGTCGCGCGGTGTATCGATCGCTCGATTGGTTCTAGCGGTCGCGTGCATAGTTTTGATGTTTTACGTGATTCGTGCTCTGTACCTCGATGCGTTTCGTCGTCCTTGAATCGATGCAATCTCTCGCGATCTTGTCGCTTGGTACGACGACGAGTCAGCCGCCGTGGACGACGCGTCTCGAAACGGTCGACGTGATCGCGCATTGAAATTACGTCGGGCCATGGACGTTGGAATCGATTCGTTGCCGCGAATGCGATTCGTCGGCAATCGTCGGCCGAGATTGTCGCGTCGTCGAGAAGTCAACGACAAGGTCTCGTGCGACAACGAGCGAGATCTCGCGTTGCGACGAAACGAGTGTCTGACGCACGGTGTGTTCGTCTCAGCGGACGACGATTACGTCGACTGTCTTTCTTACTGCGGGGCGACCGACGGTGTCGAGTATCGATATTATGATCGATTGGGCGCGATCATCAACGGACGCGTTGCGCGCACAGGTGGATACTGTTTGCCGATGGACGCCGCGATGTGCAACGAGAACACCAGTATCGCCGTGTACGGCTCGATCGGTTGGCGTTGTATACCGCAGACGCGAGCCTTTGCCGGCGAAGGTGGCAATCGTATCGTGGTGTGCAACGGTCGACTGTTGGATCGCGCCACCGGCAAAATCTGGATCGATCATGTCGACTCGACTCTGGCGTTTGACTCGATCGACGAACCGTTACCGAATAACGCGGGGTTTCGATTCGTGTGTCCACCGGGTATGCGCGACGAGCGCGACAACGATTACGTCGCCGCACTGTTCTATCGATTGTTTCTGTTGCGCAACACTGGCGCGTCTCTGATTTCACACGCGGACGAGAGCATCGCGCCGAATTTCGAGAAGAACACTTGCGAGTGCGGCGATACTGCGCGATACGACGAACGATTGCGCACGTGTGTGCCCGATGAGCGCGCCGGCAACGCCGACGCGTTTGACGCTCGCACGCTGCAGAGCGTTATTCGCGACGATGGCGAACCATGCATAGAAGCGTGGATGACCGTGTCGCAAGCTCGCGGATTGCTCGACGAGCCTCGTATGTGCGGCGTGGAGTGAGCAGAGTCGGATCTGGGCGTCGCCGGGATAGGATACCAACGAGCGTAGGGGGCTCTGTTCGATCAAGCGGTGCCATCGCCCGCGGCGATGCTGATGTCTCGCACGGTCTAATTTCGCGATAGACCATTTGTACAGCGCATCAATTGTAATGTGGGTTCGATAAATAAATTTTGCGAAGTAACGTTCAATCGTATTTTATTTGAACAATAAATCCGTCAGTTCCTTCATACAATTGCAATCTCGGCTTTTTTCGGTTTCGCGTGTTAATTTCTATATTTTTGTTCGCATCTATCGTAACATTTATGGTATGTTTACGTATATTGTTTTTTCAGTTTGCCGTATGATCATTACATCGTCGTCATTCTCGTCATCATCGTCCACAGTTATTATTTCATTTTCGTCATTAACATTAATCATGTCAACGATTTCGTCGCTTACAGTTGTCACATCGACTACCGCCTCCTCCGATTCGGCAGCATCGTCCGACTCGGCAGCATCGTCCGACTCGGCAGCATCGTCCGACTCGGACGCATTCTCGTACTCGTCCTGCTCAGGCGCATCCTCGTGCTCGTCGATATCGTCCTGCTCGGTCGCACTCTCATGCTTGTCGATATCGTTCTGCTCGGACGTATTCTCGTGCTCGTCGATATCGTCCTGCTCGGACGCATTCTCGTGCTCGTCGATATCGTCCTACTCGGGCGCACCCTCGTGCTCGTCCAACTCGACGATATCCTCGTGCTCGTCCAGCCCGATGATATCGTTCGCATAGCCAATCAATTGACTGATTCGACGTTGAGATATCCAATAATTTGGATACTGCTGCAAATAGTCATTGATTGGCATCGGTGAAGTGTCCGTGGAAGATGTTATTTCGCAGCTTGACATTTCGTACATCTGAAAAAATATACAAATGGTTATTTAGTAAAATATTGCACTATCGTGTATAATGTATGTCTTACCGTGCAAACAAGTTGCGCCATTTTTCAATGAGTACGTGGGCGATGGTGCAGAGTGCGAGGTTGGTGCGAGAGTGAATGATGCCCTCGCTCGCCATCGCGATATATACCGTTTCGTTATCGTGAAGAGTGTCCAGAGTGGTCCTTGATCTATCAGTACCGATAAACCGATAAACATTTCGGTCACTTCTAGCGCGTTATCGCGAAAAATAGAGTAATTGCGCAAAGATAAACCTCGATATCAAATACTTTAACAAATAGTAAATAGTGCGTATGAGAAAAACAATTTTTTTGAGCGTTAGATAACTTTCGATTGACGAAACGCGATAAGCTCGAGTGGTACGCTCTCTTGATCATTTGTTCGAGTGACGAGCGATAACATTTTTTACCCATTGAGAAAAATAGTAAACACTCGAGCAAGCGTAAACACATTACGTAATTTGCGCGAGCTGATTACAAGTTGAAAAAAACTCGGGCTACTATGATCATTATCAGTCATTCGAGTGACGGGCGATAACATTTTAATCCACTGAGAAAAAGTAGTAAACACTCGAGCGAGCGTAAATATGTTACGTATGTGCCGACTGGGAGATGCGAAAAAAAACTGGGCTATTCTGATAACGATATACATGTTTATTATTGCTACACGTTCATCATCGGTCACAAGGAACATCGAGCATGTGCGAATACGCCAATTTTACAATGTTTTCGAGAAAAGACAACGCTCGCGCGGTATGCTTGCAACGAGACTAAACGTTCGATTCGACGCATTCTTGCTTGTGCGTCGATCGGTTATTTGCAATCTGATAAAACGACCATCGTTGCGCAATACCGCCTCAAATGTTCGATTGTAATACACAAGATTGGGCGCGTCAAATCCAATTGAAACATACCGCATCGCGCGTAACAAGTCGTGTCGCCTAGGCGCGGTAAAGCACAACCGATCGTTCCGGTTCTCGGATCTGTCTCGATAGTGTGTTTGATCTCGGTAGTACGGTCGACGCTCATTAGCATAAAATAAAGTACATTCGGTACAATTGCGATCAATCGCACATCGCACGCGTCATCGTCGAATATTTTTTTTTTTCGTTGATCTCGACGTTGCTCGTTGTCGTCGCGATACGCATCGTCTTCCTCCTAGTCGTCGTTGTCCTCCGAATAATCGGCCGGTTCGTCCGAATAGTAATCCGCATCATCGTCGTCGGTCACAAAACGTTCGCTCGAGCGTTCGCGCGACGATAAACGAGGATCGCGATTGCTTCTCGTCGGTGGCGATTTTTTGGCCGGGCGCGACGGTTCGGCGGCCGACGTACGCTGCGGTGAAGACGATGCTCGCGAGACGCCGACAGCGTTGGTTATTCTCTTGCGACCGACCCCAACGCCAGTGTGCGGAGGTTGGCGCCGTTTTACATTCGCGTCGTAAAGATCGACGGTGATCGCCATTGTCGATTGATTCGGCGTTACAGTCGGACCTTTGTTTCTCCTCGAGGCGGGTCGTTTAACTCCTCGGTCATTGCGCGGTTGATGAATCCTTCACCTCTTTACACCTCCACGAACCGCCCCTTCCATGACCGTCGATTCGTCATTATCGCTCCTCTTCGTGCTGCGTGGACGCGGGGAACAATTTCGGACCCAATTTACCGATGCAATTGAATCGCAAAAACTGAGCGGCGCACATGCTACACATACCACCGAGCGATTCGTCCACTCTGCGATTTTGCACGATATTGGCGAAATCGGACGTGTTCATTTGCCGGAGCAAGCACTCAAACTCGTTGACGTATTCGTACCAATAATCGATGAACCGAATCATCAATTTGTCCGCGATGTCAGCGATATTGCCATACGTGCCAAACGAGCTCAACACCGCGAGTAGTCTTCGTTTCGCGCGATCCGGATTGACGTCGGCATCCTGGCATATCATGTAAAATTGATCGTGCATATTGCGTCGCACGAGTGTACGACCGGAGCACAGATTCGCCTCGTCGTGCGTCAACGATTGTCTGAGCAGATCGGCCGAATGCGTTTGCGCGTTGATCGGCGGCACATTGTACGCGTTTGTAAACCTGACGAAATCGTGAAACGAATCGCGAGACAGTCGTTTTAGCGTGTTTGCTCGATGAGCGCTCGATGATACCGTTCGCTGTCGGTCGTAAACGAGCAGCGTCTCGTTATTCTGACCGTTGGAATCATTTTTTATCGTGTCCTCCGGAACAGCGAGTTTGACCCCTCCTCGACCGTCCGCCTGCGATACGGTCGTATGTTGTTTCCTCGTGTTCGTCGGCGACAAAGACGATGCTGGAGCCTGGGCGCCGTTGTTGGACCCGTCGGTAGATCGATAATGCTGCGCGATAGTAGCTGGTGTATTCGCGGATGTTGCACCGCTGCCGCCGCCCACCGTTGACAACGACGCGGAAGAATCGACCATTGTGCCGACGTTACGATCGCGCAACATGTTTAGCGTTTCCACCGCGTTTTTTACGTCGTAGCCATCGCGAATGAGTTGAGCAGTCAACTCGTCATCGATGATTTGATCATTCGTCTGATGATAAATCGACTCGTTCGGAAACAACGACGGCATGTTTCGCGATTGCTGACGCTCGCTCGCGGCCACCAACGAATCGATCGTCGTCGAAAAATCCATCGTTATCGCGTTATCGCCGGATTGTTCCATCGTTCCGAGCACGGTGTTTTTATACCCGAACGGACGGATCGTACTCACTCTTACTTTCCCGAACGTTTCCCCCTATTTGCGAATGTCACTATCCAGTCGCGCTGCGGTTTCTCGATCGACGTGCGAAAAAATATCGCCGATTCTCCGCCGTTGTTAAGTCGTGGCTCGATGATGATACGACGGCGGGCATTCGCCGTCGTTAGCGCTGAGCGAATGTCAAATGAAACACGCGCTGTTTGTCATCGAAAGCATTCGGATAATCCGTTTTGATGCGCTCCTTAATCTTGACCACTATTTCGCGAAAGTTTGCTCGAGACACGAGGTAACCGGTTTCCTCGACAAATTCGCGCAGAAATCGATACAGATCGGTGTCGCGCATAGTCACGATAGAGTCCTCGCGAATACGATAACGTTGCAGCAACAATTCGAACGGGTCGATCATGACGTGCAGGTTTCGAGCATCGCGTATCATCGTCTCTGGCAGTTCGTCTATGATTATCGGATCGTCGAGTTTGTCGCCAGTGGTGTCGCAAAAGATTCGCACCGACCGTTTGCGCATTCGCGCATCGCGCCGAAGAGCGATCTCGTCGCCGTGCGCGGAATTATCGTCCGCTGCTGCGTTCGAGTCTGCAAATTCGGAAATTACACTCGGTATGTGACGGTATGTGACGGTATGTGTCGAGTTGCGGCACAGTCGTCGGGGGCGACGATTCCGCTGTCGCGCCATCACGCTCATCGTCCGGCTTGCATTCGGACGATTGCGACGACGACGATTCGTCGTCGTCTTCGACGCGCGAATTTGCGCGATTGTACATCTTCATTACTCGATAGCTCAAGTGAAAGGCCAGCATTCGTCAAAAGAGCGCCAATCCTTGCGCCCCGGTGTTCAGATACGCTTTCGTCGCCGCGTTAAAGTTCAATTCAGTGCGTTCTATCAGTCGCTCCATCTTGGCCTGGCGCGTCGCGATCGCGTCGTACAACGCGTACGTGGCGTCGTTGTAGGTGCACATATCTGTGCCGTAGTGTTCCATCGTGAGAAACAGACCGGCGCGAAACGCCTGATAGTTGATCCCTCGTGCGAAGCGTAGCGTGGCGAATTGATAGGAGACGCTCGGAGTGGCGTGAGTCTTGACGAAATCCACCGAGGTGTCGAGATGTCGGCCGTGCAGCGGTTTGAAGCAGTGCAGCATGCGCAGACAAAATTTCAATCGGGTAATCACTCCGGCGTCGCTGCGCAATGATATCGCGTCGTTCACCATGAGCATTATCTTGGCCAAATTTCGCAGGTATTGCGTCTGTTGCTGATGAAAATATCGACTCTTCATCATGGTGCTGGAGATGAGATTTTTGAAGAGATTCGCGTTCATGCGCTCCGGCTCGTCGACTTGGCAGATGTGCGATCGCATCATGCTCATCAGATCGGTATTCACCTCGTCTTTGATGCCGTGTCTCAGCGTGGCGTTGCTGAGTGTGCCGCTGAGCACGCTCGAAAACACCGGTCGCAACATCTCCGACATGAATTCGCTCTTGCCGCTGTCGCTCGTGCCTTGCAGCAGTAACAGCAGTTTTGAGAAACTGTCCGGGGAATCGAATGGCCGTGATGTAACGCAATAGAAACATAATGACGCTGGTGTCGCCGCGCGCGAATATGAACAATGTGACCAGGGCTGTGCAGATGCTGTACGCTAGATCGTTCGAAACATCGTTTCCCTCAGGCCTCGACGTTGCATACGCGGTCAGTCCCTTCGACAGGGAGTTTGTGTCGTACGAGTGAATGTGGCACTCAGAATACAGACGAGACAGCGAGTCGTGACATTCGTCAAATAGCGAGCATCGCGGATCGGACAATAAAGCGAATGCGTTCATGCTATCGCTCAGTGAGCGCGCGGCCCGCAACGACGCCGGCAGATCGGTCAGACCGTGCGCGCAAATGAATCGCTCGTCGCGATCGCTCGATTCACGATGATGCGACGTGCGAATGAACGTAATGCGCCGTTCTCGTTCGCGCGTCACCAGAAACAAATACGCCGCCGCGATGTTCACCAGAGTCGCGCCGTCGTTCTCGGTTGCGACGGATGAGGATACGAACGATACCCAACGCACGAGCGCCTCATCGTTGGCGTGAGCTAGCACGAATTCGTGCAGACGCCAGGACGCGCAAAAATTGCGCATCGCGTCCAGACTGACGGTCGTGGTCGCCGACCGCAACGATCGCTCGCGCGAGTCTCGATCATCGCTGTCGCATCCGCGATTTCGTCGCGTCGCGCGTTTCGCGCCGATTGCTACGTTGAACGATGGAGGTACGGTGTGAAACATCACCGAGGAGGACACTAGATCGCGAATCGAGCGT